GCTGCTGCTGCTGTTACTGCTGATGACGGTGCTGCTGCTGTTGATGGTGATGTTGCTGTTGCTGATGCTGCTGCGGCTGGTGCGGCTGCTGTTTCTGCAGTTGCTGTTGTTTGAGCTTATGCTGATGCTGCTGTTGCTGTTGCTGCTGTTGTTGTGTCTGTGCTTCTGTCGCCCGCTGTCCCTGCTGCTGCCGATATGCTTCTTCTTCTTGTGCTGCTGCTGCTGCTGCTGCTGCTGCTGCTGCTGCTGCTGCTGCTGCTGCTGCTGCAGCTGAGGGTCCTGTTGCTGTGAATATGTGGGACCGGCGGAAGCTGCGGCAGTGGAACTACGATCAGTATCAGGCGCTGAGGAGAGAATATATAGAGCAGAAAGTAAGCCTTCATCTGTCTCCTTCATCTGTCTCCTTTGTCTGTCTCCTTCATCTGTCTCCTTTGCCTGTCTCCTTTGCCTGTCTCCTTTGCCTGTCTCCTTTGTCTGTCTCCTTCGTCTGTCTCCTTTGTCTGTCTCTTTCATCTGTCTCCTTCGTCTGTCTCCTTTGTCTGTCTGTCTCCTTTATCTGTCTCCTTTGTCTGTCTCCTTCATCTGTCTCCTTTGTCTGTCTCCTTCGTCTGTCTCCTTCGTCTGTCTCCTTTGTCTGTCTCTATCTGTCTGTCTCTGTCTGTCTCTGTCTTTATCTGTCTCTATCTGTCTGTCTCTGTCTCTATCTGTCTGTCTCTGTCTCTGTCTCTGTTTGTCTCTCTTTGTCTTTGTCTCTCTCTGTCTCTGTCTTTATCTGTCTCTGTCTGTCTCTCTGTCTGTCTCTGTCTCTCAGTCTCTGTCTCTCTTTATTATTTGTTGTATCTCTGTCTCTTTCTCTCTATATATATTATTTGTTTTTCTTTTTTGTCTGTCTCTCTTTATTATTTGTTTGTCTGTCTCTCTTTATTATTTGTTCGTCTCTCTCTGTCTTTACTATTTGTTTGTCTTGTCTCTTAGCTGCCAGCGCCCTGCTGCTATTAGTACTGCTGCAGCTTTAGTTGCTGTTTCTGCTGCTGCTTTACTTGCTGCTTTTATTGCTGCTGCTGTTCTCGCTGCTTCGCTGCTGCACCTGTAGTTTATAAACCTGCTGCTCTGTATTTTCTATTGCTGCTGCTGCTGCTGCTGTTTCGTTGCTGCTTGTGCTGCTTTATGTTTGACTGCTTGATTTCTACTGTCCCTGCTGCTTCTGCTGCTGCTTCTGCTGCTGCTGCTGCTGCTGCTGCTGTTGCTTGCAGCAAAAGGGAAGCCCTGAATCACTGCGGTTTTTGCTGCCTCATCCAGGTGTAGATTATTTTTATTATAGAGCTCCTTATTTAGCGCATGCAGGCAGCATGGGGCTGGTTGCTGTCGCCCCACAGTGTATACTCAGCTCAAATGAACAACTGTCCGCAGATACAGACCTCCGCAGACAGCTGAAAGACAGACTTAAAGATAAAGATCTGCTGCAGACACGCTTCTGCACCCCTCTGCAACTCAGCTGCTTGTAATATACATACATATTAATATAAATAAATATATAAATATATAAATATATATATGTATATATGTACAGATGTATGTATATACACATATAGATTTATATATAAATGGTGCATACATAAAAATATGTCTTTGCATGCGTATATATATATATATATATATAAGTAAATAAATAAATAAATATATATATATATATATTTATTTATTTATATGTAGGGTATATGCATATGCATAAGGACGAGTGTACAGCAGCAAGCAGAGACGCTGATTAAAGTTATGCTGCGGTATTTCAATAGAGAAGCTGCTGCTGCTGCTGCTCAACAGAAGCAACAAGCAAAACTTCAATAGCAATGGCAGCAGCAGCACAAGCAGAAGCAGCAGCAGCAGCTGCTGCTGCAGCTGCTGCTGCTGCTGCAGCTGCTGCTGCTGCTGCATCTTCTGCTGCAACATTTCCCCTTTCAAAAACTTAACCTCCTTTCAGGTGTACGTTCACCCCACATCATCAGCAGCAGCAGCTGCTGCTGCTGCTGCTGACCCCTTAGAGACAGAAGAGGAGGCTTAAAGAGCCGCGCAGTGCCTTAGCAGCTAGATCTCCCCTTCAGCAGCAGCAGCAACAATAACAGCAGCAGTAGCAGCGACAACAGCAGCGGCAGTAGCTGTAGCACCAGCAGCGGTAGTAGTAGCAGCAACAGCAACAGGAGCAGCAGCAGCAACAGAAGAAGCAACATCAGCAGCCGTCCTAGTCTCTCAAAGCCACATAGAAGCAGCGAAGTGCCTAAGACAGCACCAACAGCAGCAATTGCTGCAGCAGCAACGGGACGAGGAGCAGCAGCAGCAGCAGCAGCAGCGAGACATCGTTTCTTATAGATTCCCTATTATCCGTTTAATAGCAACAGCAGCAACAGCAGCAAAAGAAGACAGTGTTCCTTCAAGTGTCTCTACAGACCATTTAACTGCAGCAGTAGCAGCAGCAGCAGCAGCAAGACGAGACAGTGCTCCTTCTCGAGTCTCTATAAACCATTTAACAGCAACAGCAGCAGAAGCAAGAGGAGACAGTTTTTCTTCTAGAGTTTGTATAAATCTGTTAATAGTAGCGAATTGCCTGCTGCTGCAGCAGCAAGACTCAGTTTTTTGCTGCTGCTGCTGCTGCTGCTGCTGCTGGCTGCAGCAAAGCTGCAGGTTAAGAAATCTCTGTGTGAAAACACTTTTAATTAGAGCCGACAGCAGGAGAAGCTGCTGCTGCTGCAGCCACTACTGTTACAACAACAACAGCAGCAGCAGCAGCAGCAGCAGCTGCTGCTGCTGCTGCTGCATGCGTAGTGCATGGGGGCAGCAAGAGGGGAGGAAGCAAAGGGGCCCTTCATGTTTATCTTCTGAGTAAGACTTACGCTTTGCTGCTGAGTTGTTAGTAATTAATCTGCAGCAGAATATTAATAAACAAAATATAAAACACTAGAGGCAAGGTTTAGAGGCAGCAGCAGCAGGCGCACCTCGAGCTGCTGTTGGCCGCTGCTGCTGCTGCTGCTGCTGCTGGTGCTGCTGCTGCTGCTGCTGCGGTTTCATGCGTGCAGTCGGGGCTGAGGGGTTGGAAGCCTACGCTTGTCTATCGAAACAGCGGCAGCAGCAGCAGCAGCAGCACATTATTGCGTTCTAGGATGTGCACCAGCAGCAACAGCAGCAGCAGCAGCAGCAGCAGCAGCAACAGGACCTGCTGCAGCACGCCCAACGGCGCAGCAAAAAGGTAGGCTAGGGGGCCCCCCATCTTCACTTTTCAGTTTTCTGTAAGGCCTTCATACAATCTGTCCCTTGCTTGTTTCTCAAGTGCAGCAGCTGCTGCAGCAGCAGCAGCAGCCTCCAGCAGAAGCAGCAGCAGCAGCAGCAGCAGCAGCAGCAGGCACGAATCTCACATTGTATACTGCTCCCCCGTAGCGTTGGGTAGAGGCTCGCACCTCGTAAGAAAGTGTCTTTGTTGACTCTCTCATCTGCTGCTGCTGGTGCTGCTGCTGCCCCCTAAGGCAGCAGCAGCAGCAGCAGCAGTGCTGCAGCTACTGTCTCTTTTTGTAGTCTTAAAGGGGGGCCTATCATGGATAAGAGGGCCCCCCATTGAGATATATTTCTGCTTCAGGTTCTTATCTTTATACCCCCGCTCTTGCAGCAGGAAGCTGTGACGCCGCTGCAGGAGCAGCAACAGCAGCAGCAGCAGCAGCAGCAGCAGCAGCACGGCCAGCAGCAGCAGCAGTAGCAGCACACCATGGAGCAAGACGGTCCAGGGGACTCCGGTCCTCCCAGCGACTCTGCAGCAGCAGCAGCAGCAGCAGATGCGCCCCAAGCGAATGGGGCCGTAGAAGCGCAGCAGCAGCTGCAGCAGCATCAGCAGGAGCAGCAGCAGGAGCAGCCGGGGGAAGAAAGAGGCAGCAGAAATAGCAGCAGAAGGCCTTCAGCAGCCTGCAGCGCAGCAGATGAGGAGGAGGTTATATACTCAGACCACGAGGGACCCTCAGACGACTTGCAGCAGCAGCAGCAGCAACAGCAGCAGCAGCAGCAGCAGCTAGAAGCAGAGCAAGGGGAAGTCGATGGCGGAGGAAAGGGAGCAGGTGCTTCGCAGGAGGGCTTAGAGGCGGCTTTTGGAAGCAGCAACGGCAGCAGCAGCAGCAGCAGCAGCAGCAGCAGCAGCAGCATGGAGCAGCAGCAAAGCCAAGGCGCCTCATCGGGTTCGAATGTCTGCGCTGCGGATATGAACGGGAAGGGGGGAGGAGAAGGTGCAGCAGCAGCAGCAGCAGCAGGCGACGAGAGCACTGCAGCAGCAGCAGCACGCGCCACGGAGACAGGTGCAGCAGCAGCAGCAACTGTCTTTCGGTTTGCTGTTGCTTGCGAAGAGAGCGATGAAGAAGGAGCAATATCTGAAGAAGAAGAGGCCCTATCTGCTGAAGATGCGTCTTGTGAAGCAGCAGCAGCAGCAGCAGTAGCAGCAGCAGCAGCAGCAGCAGCAGCAGGACAGTGCAGCAGCAAAACAGTCGAGGTTCAGAACGCCCCCCTTAGCTTCGATGCTGCAGCAGCAGAAGCTGCTTTAAAAGAAGCTTGCGGCTCTTGTTTGCTGCGGCTGTCTACTTCTCCTTCTTTGACTGGAGATGGGTTGCAGCTGTCTCTTGTCTTCAGCAGCAGCTTAGCAGCAGCAGCAACAGCAGCAGCACTTAACGGACGTAAGGCTTCCCGCAGGGTCCTTCGTGCTGCTGTTGCGGGGCCCCCCCGCTCCCCAGCAGCGTGGGGCCCCCAGAGGGGGCCCTCACATATGGGTGCTTCAGTTGCTGCACCAGCAGCAGCAGCAGCAGCAGGAACAGCAGCAAGCGGCTTCCGCGTCCCGCAGCAGCAGCTACAGCAGCAGCAGCTGCAACAACAGCAGCTGCAGCAGCAGCAACAGCAGCTGCAGCAGCAGCAGTTGCAGCAGCAGCCTCCCCCCCCTCCACCCACAGGGCCTGGAGGCGTTAAAGCGGTTTTGAGGCCCCGAGCAGTAATCTTAAGGAGAGATGCTGCAGCAGCAAACCCAGGAGGAGGAGGCGCAGCAGCAGCAGCAGCAAGTGCTGCAGCAGCAGGGGGCTCTCCTGCGGGGCTGGGGAGCCGCGTGTGCCTCACCCCACGGCCGGGGGACGCGTGGGGCTCCCAGGGGCAGCCAGCAGCAGCAGCAGCAGCAGCAGCAGGTGAAGCAGCAGGTGCTGCTGCTGCTGACGGTAGGTGGAGGGTAGAGAAAGTTAGCCAGTGGTCAGAGGATATGTCTATAGAAGAACAGATGCAAGACTTCAGGCAGCTGCATGCGAGGTTCAGACACACCATCAGGTATGCTGCTGCTGCTGCTGCTGCTGCTGCTAGTGCTGGTGCTGCTGCTGTTGCTGCTAGACCTGCTGCTGCTTCTGGTGCTAGTTCTGATGCTGCTGCTGCTGGGGCGGCGCTGCAGCAGCAGTTGCTAGAGCTGATGGTTCTTTTGCTGCTGCATGCTTTTTGTTTGTGCTGCTGTGTCTGTACACCTGCTGCTGCAGATATTTGCTGCTGTCTAATCTACCGGAGCGGCTGCAGCAGCAGGAGGCCCTCCTTGATTGGCATCGTCAGGTTGTGGGGCAGCAGGTGGAGGTCTTAATTGAGATTATAAGACCTGAGCACCAGCAGCAGCAGCAGCAGCAGCAGCAGAGTGCTGCAGCAGGGGGCTCTGAGAAGTCGGAGACTGCTGATGCTGATGCCGCTGCTCCTGATCCTGCTGCTGCTGCTGCTGAGGGCGATGCTGCAGCAGATAGCAAGGACCCTGCAGCTTGTGCTGCATCTGCGACGGAACCCGAAGCTGCAGCAGCAAGTGCAGCAGCAGCAGCAGAGCAGCAGGGGAAGGAGGAAACTGCAGCAGCAGCAACAACGCCTGCCAAGGAGGCCGATGAGGCTGCTGCCGCAGCAACAGCAGAATCTGCTGCAGCAGATTCACCAACTGCAGCACAAGCAGCAACAGCAGAAACAGCAGCAGCAGACGCAGCAGCAGCAACAGAAGCAGCTGCACCTGCGGATACAGCCGAACCGATGAGCGCGGAAGCTGCAAAAGAAGACAGCAGCAGCAGCAGCAGCAGCAGCAGCACAGCAGAGAGCAGTGGGGCTGCAGGCGATGCCTGCGAGGGTGCAGCAGGCGAGGAGGCAGCTGGAGGAGCAGCATCCGGCGGAGCAGCAGCAGCAGCAGCATCCGGAGCAGCAGCAGCAGCAGCAGGGAGTGGGGTGGTAGCTCACCTAACTTATAAGACAAAGCATGCATGCGTCGGGGCCCTGAGGAAGCTGCAGCAAAATACTGATGATGTTATTGCTGCACCTGCGGGCCCCCGAAAAGCAAATGCTGTTCTATGGGTCGGGAACTGCCGAGGTTTGTCTCTCTTCTTTGTTTAATTTGTTTACTTTATTTATTTTGTTTGACTGTCTCCTCTCTCTGTTTGTTTGTCTCCTTTGTTTAATTTGTTTGTCTCTCTTCTCTCTTTTCTGTTATTTCTTTGTTAGATTTGTTTATATATTGTTTGTTTTATTTGTGCTGTATCTCTTCTTTACCCCGCCTCATCCTCCTCCACCTCCACCTCCTACTCCTGTTGCTGCTGTTGCTGCTGCTGCTGCTGCTGCTGCTGCTGCTGCAGATCTGAAGGTTGAGCTGCTAGGGGAGACGCGTCGTTTGTTTTCTTCTTTCGGGGTCTTAGAGCGTTTTCAGTTTCTCGTTGAGAGGGGCTGCGGATTTGTGCATTATAAACGCGTTGCTGATGCTGTTGAAGCTCGGAACCATCTGCACGGCGTCAGCGTAGGGTAGGCTACTACTACCTCCTCCTGCTGCTGCTGCTGATGCTGCTGCTGCTGCTGCTGATGCTGCTGCTGATGGTGCTGATGGTGCTGCTGATGGTGGTGGTGGTGGTGGTTGTTGTTTTGGTGATGATGATGTTGGTTGTGCTGCTGCTGCTCCTGCTGCTGCTGTTCGTGCTGCTGCTGCTGCTGCTGCTGCTGCTGCTGCTGCTGCTTATGGTGTGGGGTTTGTTTGTTTGTTTGCAGCGGGGTGTCTCTGAACGTTGACTTCTCACCGTCTGGTCAGGCGTTTTTCAGCGAGAAGAAAAACGCAGCTCAGAGACAGAGAGACGAGAGACAGGCTTCATCTTTGTCTCCTTCACGTCAGCAGCACCAGCAGCAGCACCAGCAGCAGCAGCAACATCAACAGCAGCATGGTAGGGCAGGCAGGCAGAGGCACAGGCAGCAGCAACAACAGCAACAACAGCAGCAGCAGCAGCAGCAGCAGCAGTCTACAAAGTCATCTGCTGTTCATTCGATGCCACCCCACATGCGGGGGTCTCCAATAGGGGGCCCCCCCTATGGGGCCCCCGGGGGCCCCGGGGGGCCCCCTGGGGGCCCCCCCCCTCTTTTTAGTGTGCGGCCAGGGGGCCCCCCAGTAGGAGACAGGCAATTCTTCGATGTGGGGCCCGGGGGGGGGCCCCCAGGGCCCCTACCTGTACGTAGAGGCGTCCTACCTGCACCTGGGGGGCCCCCGCTGCTGCGGGCTGGGGGCCCCCCCCACTTGCTGCTGCAGCGGGACAGATTAGGAAGGCCTCTGAGATATTCAGGTGAGGGGCCCCCACCTAGAGTGCTGCCACCGCCACATGACTTTCGTGCTGCTGCTGCAGCAGCAGCAGCAGCAGGAGGACCCTATGATGAACAACATAGTAGGAGAGACAGCTGGGGAAGGCGGGGGCCCCCTACGCTGTATGCGCAGCAGCAGCAGCTCAGACCAGATGCATTCAGAGACGAATTTGAGGGGCCCTATCGGGGCCCCTCTATAGAAAGAGACAGAGATAGACACAGGAGCAGAGACAGAGACAGAGACAGAAACAGAGACAGAGACAGAGACAGAGACAGACGCTCCTTAGAGGCCTCCCCCTCAAGCCACAGCAGAGACAGGCGCGGTGCAGCAGGAGACAGCAACAACGAAAGCAGCAGCAGCAGCAGCAGCAGCAGTGGGGCCACCATAACCAGCGAGTTGTTGTCTCTGCTGCGGCAGCGGCTTCTCAGTGGTGCTGCAGCAGGGGCCTCGAAGCAGGCCAGCACAGACGACAGCAAACGCAGCAGCAGCAGCAGCAGCAGCAGCAGCAGCGGTAGCGGCGGAGGAGCAGCAGCATCGGAGAAAGGCAGCAGCAGCGGGAAGGACCCGCTGCTGCAGCTGCTGCAGTGTGAGCCTCAGCTGCTAGACTGCATGTTGCTAGACCTGGCTCGGGAGCGGCTGCAGCAGCAGCTAGGAGACAGCAGCAGCAAAGGTGCTGCTGCTTCTCCTTCATCTAGGTCTCCTGCTCGCAGCAGCAGACGGCAGCGGGGGGGAGGCACACAAGCTGATGAAGCTGCCTCTAGAGAGAGGGGGGGCCCCGAAAGCAGCAGCAGCAGCAGCAGCAGCAGCAAAGGGGTTGCTGCAGGCCACAGCACCGTAAGAGACAGCCGCAGCCGCAGCCGCAGCAGCAGCAGCACAAGAGGAAGAGCCCGGAGAGCGACAGGGAGGAGACAGAGAAGAAGCAGAAGTATATCTGTGTCGAGAGACAGAGACAGAGACAGAGACAGAGACAGAGAGAGAGACAGAGACAGAGACAGAGACAGGGGCCCTTCCGATGAGCAGCAGCAGCAATACAGACACGAACGACGCAGCAGACAGTCTCCTAGTGGTGAGGGCACTGTCTCCTTTGTTGTGTCTCTTCTCCATGCCGCTGAGTCTGCTGCTGCTGCTACTCTCTCTGTCTTTGTTTCTGCTGCTGCTGTCTCCGTCTCTGTCTTTGTTTCTGTTGCTGCTGCTGCTGTCTCTGTTTTTGTTGCTGCTGCTGCTATCTCTGTCTTTGCTGGTTTTTATTTGCTGTCTCCGTTTTGTTTGTCTCCTCAGGGCTTGAAAGAAGCAGCAGAGGAGACACTGCAGCAGACGGCGCAGCAGAGGGTCTCTGCAGCAGCAGCAGTTGGGGTGATGAGGGTCCCCACGGCAGCAAGCGGCGTCGCGTTGGGCATCACCCCCCAAGCAGCAGCAGCAGCAGCAGCAGCAGCAGCAGCAGCAGCAGTGGGGGAGTTGGTGGTGCTGTCTCTGGGGGCCCCTCAGGGGTGCGGGGGGTCCATGGGGGCCCCCTAGGCAGCAGCAGCAGCAGCGGGAGAGACGCGAGTTGTGCTGCTGCGCATGGCTCTATTAAAGAAGGAGACAGCGAGAGATATTCTATTAACAAAGACAGAAATCTGCTGCTTGTCTGCCGTGTCTCCAAACAAGGGCAGCATGCATGCACAATGAGCGCTAAATTCGTCATGGGGGATCCTTCTTTACAACCGTTAGTCTCTTCTGCTGCTGCTGTTGCTGCTGCTGTTGCTGCTGCTGCTGCTACGGTTGCTGTTGCTGTTGTGGTTGTTGTTGCTGCTGCTGTTACTTCTGCGGATACTGCTTCTGCTGGTGCTGTTGCTTCTGCTGCTGTTGCTGTTGCTTCTGCTGCTGCTGCTTCTACTTCAACTGCTGCTATTGCTACTGCTGCTGCCGCTGCTGTTGCTGCTGCAGGCCTTCTCGTTTAGACGTGAATCAGCGAGCGAATTGGGAGCGTCTCCAATCGCATTTGCTTCGAGGTTCCTCTCGCAGCAGAGATGGTGCTGCAGCAGCAGCAGGAGGAGCAGCAGCAGCAGCAAGCGGGGTTTGCTACTCTGTGTGGCAGATGGGGGCTGACTCTGCTGCAGACAGCCGACACTACGACGCTCTCTGCGATTATTTTATTTCAAAGGACAGATTAGGACTGAGAGAAGGGAGACAGTTTGCGGTGTACATGGTGCCTCCTCATGGGGCGTATGCAAGAGCTCTAGGGGTATATATATATATTTATATATATATTTATATAATTATATTTATATATATATTTATTTATATATATATATTATATATGTGTTGCCTCTTCTTTAGCTGTCTCCTTTGCTGTTTATCTGCTGTCTCCTTTTGTCTCTGTTTAGGTTTGTCTCCTTCATCACCTGTCTCATGTGTTATTTTACCGTCTCCTTTTGTCTTGTCTCTGTATAGATATGTCTCCTTTCCTCTTCAAGTGTCTCCTTTTGTCTCTGTTTCATTAACATTAAACTGTCTCCTTTTGTCTTCATTTGTCTTCTTTTGTTTTGTCTTAGCTCTGTTTCTTTTGCTTCTTTTGCTGTTTGTGCTGTCTCCTTTTGTCTTCTCATTTATTGAGGCGTCTCCTTTTGTCTTCGTGCTGTCTCCTCTTGTCTCCTTTGCTATTCAACTGTCTCCTTTTGTCTTCTTTGCTCTTCAGCTGTCCCCTTTTGTCTCCTTTTGCCTCCTTTGTTTGTCTGCTGGAACCGCTGCTGCGCCTACTGTCGCTTTGACTTATCTAACTGTCTCTCTGTCTTTGTCTCTTGTCTCTGTCTCCTTTATCTGTCTCTCCTATCTGTCTCCTTTATCTGTCTCTCTTATCTGTCTCTTTTATCTGTCTCTGTCTCTATTTAATTATCCTATTGTCTTTCTTCATTTGGGGCTGCATGCGTTGGGGTGTATGCGCAGCTTCCTGACTCAAATTTTATGTACGCCTACGTCATCGCAAAATCAAGAGAAGCCAGAGGCGACCTTGAAGCTTGAACAGCAGCAGCAATAATAGCAGAAGGAAGACAGACAACAGCAATATCTGCAGCAAGAGCTGCTGAAGGAGCTGCAGCAAGAGCTGTAGAAGGAGCTGCAGCAAGAGCTGCAGCAACAGCCGCAGCAGCAGCTGCAGAAACTGTTGCGGCAATATATGCACTAGTAGCTGCAGCAATTGCTCCCGCAGCAGCAGCTGCAGTTGCTGCTGCTGCAACTGCAGCAGCAGCAACTACAGCTGCTGCTGCTGCACTGTGTTACGCTGGGGTAGACAGAGAAGCCTTCTTCTAGGCTCCGTTTTAATTCTCGCTGCTCCTCATTACAGCAGCAGCAAGCGTTGCTGCTGCAGCATTTGGTGCTGCAGCCTTTTCTGCTGCAGCTTCTGCTGCTGCAGCCTTTCGCTGCTGCAACTGATACTGCTGCAGCTGCAGCTGCTGCGGCAGTGAGCTGCAGTGTCTTTGCTGCCCCTATATTCGGGTGTATGTACACTTGAAAAGTTTGTTAGGTTTTACGTTTGCTACGTTGTGCCGAACAATATATCTTTTGTTTGCTGCTTTGTTTGCTGCAGTTGTGTCTCCTTTGCTGCTTAGAGGTTTAGATAGCGTGTATAGACAGGCGCTGGCTGTGCAGCAAGCGTCTCCTTACCGAGATTCGTATAAGAGCAGACATTATTTGTCTCTTTGTTTGTCTCTTTATTTGTCTTTGTTTATCTTTTTGTTTGTCTGTCTTTGTTTGTCTCTCTGTCTCTTTATTTGTCTCCGTCTCTGTCTTTGTTTGTCTTTGTTTGTCTTTGTCTGTCTGTCTCTCTTTCTGTTTGTCTCATCATTTGTCTCCTTCTGTCTTTGTTTGTCTGTCTTTGTTTGTTTGTCTTTGTTCGTTTATTTGTCTCCTTGTTTATCTCTTTTTTTCTGTTTATTTGTCTCTTTATTTGTCTCCTTCTATCTTTGTTTGTTTGTCTTCGTTTGTTTGTCTTTGTTTGTCTGTCTGTCTCTCTTTCTGTTTATTTGTCTCTTTATTTGTCTCCTTCTGTCTTTGTTTGTTTGTCTCGCTGGCTCTTTGTTTGTCTCTGTCTGTTTATTAATCTTTTTATTTGTCTTTGTTCATTTATTTGTCTCTGTCTGTCTTTGTTCATTTATTTGTCTCTGTCTGTCTTTGTTTATTTATTTGTCTCTGTCTGTCTTTGTTGATTTATGTGTCTCTGTCTGTCTTTATTTATTTGTCTCTGTCTGTCTTTATTTATTTATATTGCTGAGGGAGTAGTAAATTGCTGCGAGCTGCAAATAGACAGAGAGATAAAACAAATAAAATTAATTTAATTTAATTTATTTATATTTTTATATGAAAACAAATAATAACAACAACCCCACCACAACCATCATCAGCACATACAGGATGAGACACAGCAAACAGAAGAGACAAGATATTGTTGCTGCTGCAGCAATTGCTGCAGCAGTGGCTGCTGTTGCAGTAGATGCAGCTGTTGCTGCTGCTGTACTTGCTGCAGCAGTAGCTGCTGTTGCAGTAGCTGCAGCAGTTGCTGCTACTGCACTCGGAGACAGAAGAGACAAGGAGAGACAAAAGGAGAGAGACATAGCCTCCTTTTGCTGTATGCTGCTGCAGCAGTTGTTGCTGCTGTTTGGAGACAGAAGAGATAGATGCTGTCTCCTTTTATTGTTTGTTGTTGCTGCTGTTGCTGCTGCAGTTGCCGTTGAAGTAGCTGCTGCTTCTGCAGCAGTTGCTGCTGCTGCTGCTGCGTTATAAAGAACAATAAAACAGCAGACAGCCAGAAAAAGCAGCAAAGACATCTCGTAGTCTGCACACAATACAAATAGAGAGAAAAATTATTATTATTATTTAATATTATTATTATTATGTTTATTTTTACGTTTTTATTACTATTATTATTATTACTAATATTATTATGTTTATTAATATTTTTTGCTGTTATTATTGATATTGTTTATTATTATTATTATTATTATTATTATTATTATTATTATTATTATTTGTAATTATTATATATCTACATATATATATGCATATATATGTATATATATATGTATATATATATATATATATATATATATATATATATATATATATATATATATATATATATAAGCAACAACAGCATTGAAGAGAGACAGCCTTTGTCTCCTTTTGTGTCTGTCTCTCTCAACCTTATGAAGCCCTTTTGCTGCTGTAGTCAATAAGATGAGTGGAGACAGCAGCAAACAGCAGCAGCAGCAGCAGCTGTTTGCTGCTGCTGCATATTTATGCATGCAGATGTTTGTATGGTGTATCTTCTTTGCTGCGGCTCTCTACTGTACACTTTGATAGATTAATGTTAAATAAATATATTAAGTTTTAATATAATAATAATAATAATATATATTATTATTATTATTATTTATCTTATTAATAGTAATAATTATATTATTATTATTAATTAATTAATTAATTTATTTATTTATTTACTAACTGTCTGTACAGCCCAACGCACATAACAACAACCCCACCACCCCCCACCAACCCCAACACGCACCCATATAGCTGCTGCTGCTGCTGCTGCTGCTGCTACTGCTGCAGCTGCTGCGGCTTGTATCTGAGTTAGGGGGCCCTTAATAGATATTTAATGAGACTAACAAACCCGTTGCTGCTCCTTGCTGCAGCAGCTGCTGCTGTCTATGGCCTCTGCTGCTCCTGCTGCTTCCCCCTCTCTCTCTCCGTGTCTTATCTTTTAATCATTTTGCCTTCGATTCTTTAACAAGGCTTTCTTCTATTTCTTTTGTGCAGCAGCAGCAGCAGCTTCTGCAGCAGCAGCAGCAGCAGCAGCAGCGGTTGTTGCTGCTGCAGCCGCAGCAGCACAAGGCCCCCAAGCAGTTTCTGTGAGGGTTGCTGTTCTTGTCTTTTTTCGCTGCTGTTGCTGCTCTACAGTAGATCAAAGACAAGCGGCTGCTGCAGCTGCTGGCGGCGTTTGTTGCTGCTGCTGCTGCTGCTGCAGCAGAACCAGCAGCTGCTGCGCAGCTAGCACTTACCTAACAGCAAAACACCTTACCTAAGCACTTTTCTGCTGCTGCAGGCGTCGTTTATAGATTTGCTGTTGCTCTGCTGCTGCTGCCTCTATACACCGCTGCTGCGCGCTTCAGCAGCAGCTGCAGCAGCACTTGCTGCTCTGGTGCTGCAGCACCTGCTGCACGCGCAGCTGCAGCAGCCTTCACCTCGCCGCCCTGTTCCCCTGATAGGCGACGGGACTCAAGCTGCTGTTATATAAGTTATTGCAGTAGCAGCAGCAGCTATTGCTGCTGCAGCTGCAGCAGCAGCAGCTGCTGCTGCAAGTGAGTTCTTACAAGGGCATTTGCTTCATATAGCTCAGGACCTCCAGCTGCTTGTGCCCCCTCTCGATCTCGCCTTTGCTGCTGCTGCTGCTGCTGCAGCTGCAGCTGCTTATTTGTTGTTGCTTGCTTTGAAGACCTTGGGGTTGTGCTTAGACAACCAACACCCACTCCTTCAGGCAGGCAGAATCAGCAGCAGCATCTGCAGCAGCAGCAGCATCTGTAGCAGCAGCAGCAGCAGCAGCAGCAGCAGCGGCAGCAGCATCGAGGACAATGTGGGCGCTGCCCCCTCAGCTGCCCGCAGGCGGCCGCTCGCTGGGGGTCTTCGACTTAGGCGAATTTAACTCATGGAGGCTGCAGCAGCCTTGCGAGAAGCTGCTGCCTCAGCAGCAGCAGCAGCAGCAGCAGCAGCAGCAGCAGGTACAAAGGCGCCCCGAGGGGGAGCTCTGCTGCTGCGGCAGGGTCCTTGCTGCTGCTTTCGAAGTGGGGGCCCCCGCTGGCTGTTCTTTTTCTATGGAGGATCTTGATGAGGCAGCTGAGACAGTGCAGCAGCAGCAGCAGCAGCAACGGCGACTGCTGCTGCTGCAGAGCTGCTGCAGCAACTCTGCAGCACCCTACGATCCACTCGCCTTTCCTACACTTGCCAGCAGCAGCACAGACAGCTACAGCAGCAGCACAGACAGCTACAGCAGCAGCAGCAGCAGCAGCAGCGGCTGTGGGGTGGGAGGATACTCATCTGTTTTGAGGGGCCCCCTAGGGGCCCCCTTTGGCCCTAACGGTAGCAGACGTTGGAGGACAGAGGCAGCAGCCACAGCAGCAGCAGCAGCAGCACCTGCTGCTGCTGCTGCTGCTGCTGCTATTTCCCCTGTTAATGGGGGGCCTCGAGGGTAGGTAAAGAAAAGCGTCTGCTTTTATTTGTCTCTTTTGTCTCTTTTTGTTTATCTCTGTCTCTTATAATTAATTGTTTATGTTTATTATTATATATATATTTGTTTATATTTATATTTGTTTTGTTATCGTTTATTTATTTTTATTATTTGTCCGCTGGCATAGCCTTTTGTTTGTCTTTGCATGTCTTTGTCTTTTTGTTTTATTTTTATTTTGTTTATTTGTTTTATATATATTTATATATTTATTTATTTATCTTTATTTATTTTTGCTTGCCTTTTTATTTATTTATCTGTTTGTCTGCTTATTTATTTATTTGTTTGTCTTCATTTATATTTATATCTTTTTGCTTGTCTTCATCACTCTTTGTTTATTTTTATTATCATTTATATATATTATATATTTATTTGTTTTTCTTTGCTTTATTTGTCTCTACAGATATACATACTTGTCTTCTTCTTCTCGTTCACAGTTTAATCCAGATAGGGGGGCCCCCTGGGGGCCCCCCTTTCATCGGGGCCCCCCTCTTGGGGGCCCCCAGCTTGGGGGCCCCCCTCATGGGGGCCCCCCTTCATGGGGGACCCCTTGGGGGCCCCCACGGGGGCCCCTGCGTTCATTAGATTTGCCTGGGGCCCTGCAGCACCCACGGCTGCAGCAGCCGCTTCATTGGGCCCCTCATTCTCAGCAGCTAATAACAGCGCTGCTGTCTGCTGTTTATTTTGCTGCTACAGATAAACAGTGTGCCCCCATAACGGAGCCCGCCCCCCTTTGGCCTTCTACAGCGACGCAGCAGCAGCAGCAGCAGCAGCAACACCAGCAGCAGCAGCAGCAGCATGGGAGCCTGCAGCAGCAGCAGCACCTCCATCACCGTGCTTCTGCTGCTGCAGCACACTCCCCCAACGGCCTGCACCCAAGCCATTACCTGCAACAATCACCGCAGCAGCAGCAGCAGCAACAGGAGCAGCAGCAGGAGATGCTTATAGGGTCGGGGGCCTCCTTTAGGCTGACAGAGGGGGGCCCCCTGGGCCCTAATATTGATGTTGCAGCAGCAGAGGGCGCGCTGCTGTCTCCTGCTGCTGCAGTGTCTCCACAAGGAGACACTGCAGCAGAACAGCTCGTTACTTGTCTTCAGTTTGCTGCTGCTAATGAAGCATTCTTAGCATTAGGTTTTGCTTCCGGTGCTGTGCAGCTTTGGCTGCTGCCCCCTACCCTTGGGGGGGGCCCCCATCAAGGGGCCCCCGTCTCAGAAGAGGCCCCTGCTGCTGCGTTTTGCGTTGCTGCTGTTGCTGCACATACACCTGGTGTCTCTCCCTGCGGCACCGAGCAGCGCAGCACCCTCCTGGAGGCGTTGGCCGAGCTGCAGCAGCAGCAGCAGCAACAGCAGCAGCAGCAGCAGCAGCACTGTACTCACTGCTGCTGCTGGGAAGGCCTCAAGGGGGCCCCTGAGGTCTCTGCCCTAGCTTGGCACCCGAAGGAGCTGCTGCTTGCTGCTGCGCATGCAGACGGAAGAGTTGAGCTGTGGCGGGTGGACGTACACCCCACAGCAGCAGCAACAGCAGCAACTAGCGCAGGAGGAGCAGCAGCTGCTGCTGTTGCTGCTGCTGCTGCTGCTGCTGCAGCAGCTGCTGCTGCAGGCGGCGTGACAATGCAGCACCTTCACTCGTTTCTTTTTTGCTGCTCCCCCTCTCCGTCTCCTTTTAATAGCTGCTTAGAGTTGCTATCTAGGGGCCCAGCAGAGAGACAGAGTAATGCTGATATCTCTGATATGCTGCTGCATTCGCCTGCCTGCTTGGTGTGGGGCCCCGAAGGAGACACTCTTGTTGTTGGCAGCAGGGAGGGGGCCCTCCTCTTGTGGTCTCTCGACACCCTCAAGCAGTACCGCCGGGCCGCTGCTGCTGCTGCTGCTGCTGCTGATGGTGCAGCAGCAACAGCAGCAGCAGCAGCAGAAGCGGGGCAGGGCTCGTGTATCTCTTTAAGTCGGGCTTCCGATGGGGGGGCCCCTCTACAGGCAGCAGACGAGGGGCCCTGTCTCCATTGTCTGAACTTTGCTGGCCCTTCAACAGACGCGCTGGGGGCCCCCGGGGGGCCCCAGGGGGGGCCCCCTGGGGGGGCCCCCAAGGAGACAGGAGGCCCCCAGCTGCGAGGTGGTTCTTCTCTAAAGACAATCAGTGAGGCCTCAACTCAACCCTCCAGTGCCTCGCCCCCAGATACACCCCTTGGAAGAGATGCTGGGGGAGCCCAGGCCCCGCAACAGCAGCAGCAGCAGCAGCAGCAGCAGCAACAGCAGCAACAGCAGCAGCCGCAGCAGCAGCAAGGGGCCGCTGCTGCAGCGTCTAGACTTGAGAGCACAGGAGGCGTGAACTTCGATCCCGATCCCCTGGGATCGGGATCGATCCCAAGAGGGCCCCCTGTGGGTCTTCGGGGCCCTCGCAGCAGAGGGGCCCCCCTCAGGCTGCTGCAGTCTTTCTTACCCCACAATGGGGGCCTCCAAATGTTTATACAACCCCCTCAAGGAGCAGCAGGCAGCTTCCCGCTCCCTGCAGAGCCCCAGGGGGCCCCCAATACCCTGGGGGCCCCCAGTACCCTGGGGGGCCCCAGTACCCTGGGGGCCCCCAGGGTTCTTGTGTGCGGTAGTTGGCAGCTTGGGGTTTGTTCGGTTGTTGTTGGGGCCCACGGAGGGCGCGTGCGGTGTCTCTCCTTCTGCATGCATGACCACAGAGTGCTGCTGTCTTCAGGGGACACTGCAGCGCGCGCTGCAGCAGCTGCTCCAGCAGCAGCAACTGCAGCAGCAGCAGCAGCAGGGGGATCGGGGGGCAGCAGCCGCTTAAAGCTCTGGGCTCGTAATGGGGAGAGCCTCAGCCCCACCCCTTTATTAGATATCTACTTCGAAGGCTACGTAAGTTATTCACTATCTCTACTTTTTAGGAGGGCCCCGTGGGGCCCCCTGCTGTACCCTTTAGGGCCCCATCCTCTACCCTTTAGAGGCCCCTATTGTACCCTTTAGGGGCCCCTCCTGTACCCTTTGGGGCCCCCTGCAGGGTCTTTGGGGGTCCCCTTATGGGCCCCTGTATATCCCCGTGGGGGGTTCATGCTGTAAGGCCCCCTGAGGAGCCCCCTAAGGGGCCCCCAGAGGCTCCTCAAGGGGCCCCCAGGGCCCCTGGGTTGAGTAGCAGTATATAGGGGCTGAAGGAGACAGTATATTGTGTAAGCATATCTCTTTGTGTGCAGGTAACGTCTATGTTGTGGAGTCGGCTTACTGGGGAGCTGCTGCTGACCCACAGCTGGAGGAGGCCCTCAGGGGGGGGCCCCCATGGGGCCCCCAGCAGCAGGTTGGGGCCCCCCTCAAAGACCAGGGGCCTCGGGCACAAAGGCAAGGGAGGTGTGACTGTGTGGCGCTACTCTGGAGACTGCGGAAAGAGCAGCATTGGGGCCCTGCAGCAGCAGCAGCAGCAGCAGCAGCAGCAGCAGCAGCAGCAGCGGCAGCAGCATGATGAGTGGGGGACGGGGTGGTGTGGGGCCCCAGGGGCCCCACCTGAATGTTCATCTCTGCTGCAGCCTTTATTAGTGAAGGTGGGGGGGTTTGGGGAGAGGCCAGTGCGGCGCGACAGCAGCAGCAGCAGCAGCAACAACAGCCGCAGCAGCCACAGCAGCAGCAGCAACAACGCGCATAGCCCGAGATCTGCAGCAGCAACAGAAAGCTTGCTTCCTAGTGTCTCTTTGCTGTCTCCTTTGTGGTATGCTGGGTCTCAGAGGCCGTTCTCAACTCCTTATAGCGGGAGTAGGGGGGCCCCAACTAGGGTATGGGGGGCCCCCCCAGCAGCAGAGGGGCCCCCAGAGCAGCAGCAAGAAGCAGCAGATGCTTACAGTGAAGCAGATAATGCTGCTTGTCTTGTACAGAGTGCGGATGGCTCTGTTATACTATACTGGTCTCTCCCTGCTGAGGTTATTGTTGTGTGGGGCCTCAGATCAGCAGGGGGGGGCCCCCAACCCTGAGTACCCTAACAGCAACAGGCCGGGGGCCCCCCACTCTTAAACATCTAAATACAACAAGGGGGCCCCCCCTCTGTAAGTAATTGGGGGGGCCCCCAACCCTGAACACCCTAAAGGCAAGGGGGGGGGGCCCACTTATAAACATCTTAATATTAAAGGGGGGCCCCCCATCCTTAAGTACCCTAATGCCACCAAGGGGGCCCCCCCAACCCTAAGTACACTAAATGCAACAGGGGGGCCCCCCAACCCTAAGCAATCTAAATGCATCAGGAGGGGGCCCCTATCCTTAAGTAACCGAAGGGGGCCCCGACTTTTAAACATCTTAATGCAACAAGGGGGCCCCCAACCCTCAGCACCATAAAAGTATAACAAGGGGGCCCCCCCCTTGCTATACAACGCATTAGTGCAGCAGCGGGGGGCCCCCTAAAGGTACTGATTCCCCCTCAGTGCAGCACCAAGGGGGGCCCCCTAAGGTTCTGGCTGCATGTAAGTAACTGCAGCAGGGAGGGGGCCCCTAAGGGGCCCACCACCTCACTTCGCAGTGTATCAAGAGCTGCTTAGCAGCAGACAGCACTCCGTCTTTGTTTGTTTGTTTGATTATATATTTGCTTTCGTTTATAGTTTGATATTTATGCTGGCTTATAGCGAGCGGTAGGGCTTAGTAGCAAAGGGACTGTAGAGCAGCAGCTATTGCTGCTGCTGCTACAGGCCCCGCTGCTGCTGTAGTTGCTGCAGCTGCAGCAGAAGCTTATGCTGGCAGCTGGTGCCCAGTCCGGTGGAGGAGGGGACTGCGGACAGCCCTACCCCTGGCTAGCTATATATATATATATATATATATATTTATAGCTTTAGAGACACTAAACAGACTCAACAGAGCCCTGATATACTTCGGAGACACTCTAGAGACACCTATACTATATCTATGCATACAAATATATACATTAGTGTATATATATATATATATATATATATAGACTGTATAGGCACCTTAGCAACACTACAGAGATGTCTCCAAGGCACTTTGAAGATGATGTGGAGACACCTGAGAGACAGACACCTCACCAGCACTCCGTAGAGAGTTTAGAGACAGTTTAGAGACAGTTTAGACACAGTCTAGAGAAAGTTTAGAGACAGTTTAGAGACAGTTAAAAGGCACGTAATGG